AGGCATGATCTGAAGCAATAGATAAATAAGTCAGTGGTATCTTTTCCTCTAGTTATCTATATTTTTTAGCACAACTTACAGTATGAACAACAAACTATTAACAATCACAAGATCATTAGCAAAATCGAGTCCAACACGTGTTCTGCAAGCAGTAAAATGCAATGCAGCAAAATTATTGTTATACGGCAACTGCTGATCATACATAAAGACGTGCTGCTGATTACAGTGATGATTAACGAAAGCCACATGGCGAGTTTCATTTTTCTTCCCGCCAACAATGCGCCTCTTGCATTTGTTTACCGAACTCATTTTTTGGTCGAGGCGATCCCATTGAGTTGTCATGGGCGTGCGGCTCCGTAGACGCAAGGAAAAAACATCTGCTTGTCGTTCGTCAGCTGATTTTAAAGTTAGGTTAATTTATTTATGAACTGGGTTCAACTGTTTATTGACAAAAAATAAATATTCTCTTGTTTCTGGTGTAAATGGAAATCAGTTTTGAATTGTGTATGATTGAATTGAACAGTGATTAGTTGATTCACAAGAATGACGGATGATAGCGTGGAATGGACAAGCGCTCAAATGATAGAAAATGCAAGCAGTTGGTCCTTGTGTGGTGATGTAGCCCTACTCAACCGTTTAAAGCAGTTTTCGAAGGTAAACCGAGTAAACATCGTATGTGTTGCGCGTAGAAATCTTCCACAACATCCCTTTATGCATGTTTGTCGGAGTTTCGCGTTCTTTTTATTTTCCCTTAGAGTACAATAAAAACAAATTTGTATACACTTTCCTGACTGTGTTTCAATTCCAAATCAAATTAATTCCTGGGTTTCAGTCATTTATTGTCTCTATTTATCAATGGGGATCGTCCATAAAGTTGCAAAAAAAAACTTTCAAAGCCAGTGCCGTGTTACGGTTAAATCTTGTTTTACGCACTAACAATCGATGATTCGGCACAAAAATTTGTGCTTAAGATCCACTACAATAAAGTTTTTGCAAAATTTGGGACTTATTTGAAACCAGTGATGGGAACTATCGAATTATTCGATAGTTGTAATTCATTCGAATTATTCGATAGCGATGTTTTATTTAGTGATGGAAACTATCGAATTATTTGATAGTTGTAATTTACTTGAATTATTCGAAAGCGATGTTTTCAGATGGAAACCCTCCAATTATTCGATGTAAATTTGAAGTGATGAGAATTATCGAACTATTTGATAGTTGTAATTTAAAATTTAATTAATGGGAATTATTTGATAGCAGTGTTTTATTCATTTGTTTTCTAATCATCGGATAATGCGATAGCTATAATTCCAGTGCAATGAACGATTTCAAATATTAAATAAATTAATTTTTCACTTTTTAAGCAAATATATTTCATTTATTAAAATAGGTTTTTTGTTCAAAAATTCAACATATTTTTAAAGAAAAGTGTGTCATTTTTATCGCTAACAATTTTTTTGTCAAAATGGACTTTCACCACTTTCAAAGAAAACGGCTCATATCGTATCCAAGGTGCATGTCGCCGAACGTTTTCTTTCGATTTGGGAGACCGCGGGCGATGTCTATTGAACATCCTGACAATATATTGCATATTTTCACGCTGATGAGATTAATAGGTGTACATCTCATCAGCGTCTGTAACATAATATGTTACTAGAGAATGGACCGAAGCTGTCGAAATGTGACTTTACCTGTTGGGTGACCTTACGTCTTACAGACTTCAATTAACATAAAAAGTAAATGGCATATGAGATGCTCGAAATGTTATTGAAACTTATCAGATATCGCGGAGATCATAGAGTGAATTCAAATCGCCTGCTAAAATTTTGTTCGTGTGAAAACGAGAACTAATTGGGAAAATAAAACACATGAATTTCTCTTTCCAATAGGTTTAAATTAAAAAACGTGTTGTTTTCGTAAATATATTTAAATAAAACTCTAATATTGGATTGTTCTTACGTTAAGGAGCAAAATTGAAAATATGTAGCCCAATTTTCTTTCTATCGCTATGGAATTGCTGAACTTTAACCTAAAAATTATAAAGTTAAATCGATATATTTCCGAGAAGCTACGCTTAAGATCCTACCTAAACTATTTGAGATGGTACAAATCATATACCACACCAATAAATTGTCTTCACACGCAGATTAAACCCGTTGGAGGCACACAAAACCGGAAAATCAAAAAATATCTTTGTAAAAAGTACAATGTTTTGATTTAAAAACCTGACCTACCCCAACAACGCCGAATGCTCCACGTCACGCTAACGGCGCGAATAGCAAGGATGCAAACCCTGAATACAGAGTAGTAGAGACGCAAACCCGCAAGAAGGTAAAATGAGCGCAGTTGTGTCTGGGTCCATCATTACCGCGTTACGCCACTCAGGGCCAACTGCACCGTCTTCACTTAAATATTTAAGCGACACTTAAAACTAATCTGCTGCACCGTCCAACTTAATTAAGTCTAAGGGCCAACTGCTCCGTCTTCATCATAAGTGTCACTTAAATATTTAAGCGACACTTAAAACTATTCTGCTGCACCGTCCAACTTTATCATCCCCTTAACTAAGTTCCACCTAGTTCAGGGATTTTTGATAATTTTAGGGGATTTCTTACTTGCCTATTTTCGTACCTGCCTAATTTAAAAGCTTTCGACGGAAACGTCAGCGAGAGCGATTGTTGGACTTTACTTTTGAAGACGAAAGCGTGTGAATCTGTGTAGTTTGTTTTTAGTGCAAAAAAATCAAATTAAATGGAATACCCAATGGAATCGGAAAACACTAAAAATCACCGAAAAGAATGCGAACTCCCAATTGGTCAGTGGAACAATCGGCCAGTGGAACAACTGCCCTCCCTTCTTTATGCAAATAACTTCAGTCTGGGTTTTCAAGATTGAATGTTTGATATTTTTGTTCAAAAAGGGGAAAGTTTGTCACCTCATAGTAATGTGCCATACTTCAGAGTAATAAAAACCAAGGAAATGGGAAAAATAAACTGAATAATTAATAATGTGGAAGAAGGTTTTTTAAGGTAACTGAATATTCATTATGTTAAAAGAAGGTTTGTTCTATTTTTCTAGAATTGACCAACGGGCTCAGAAAGAATAATATATTTATTTGGCTCAGGGAAATTTAATCAGCGGTTATTTGCATTACTTGCGTATTTTTCACGATTACTCTTTTTAAAAAGGCATTTTTGCAGTTAAATTTATTGACATATTTACGCGAAAGAACACGATCAGGAGGACTCATCTTTATGCAGATATAAATTATAGAAACACACAAAAAATGGTAATTTTCACAAAAAGGACAATTACTTATGTTGCAATATTTAATTCTTAGGTTAGTTTCATTTAGCATAAACAACGGAGCAGTTTTATCCAGAAAATTATCAGACATTAATATTACAAGAATTATATCCAGTCTCGTTGCTCCGCAAGTTGAAAAAAGACAGAACTAATCTAATATACCTCTTGTTTTTTTTCTCTAAAGCCGGTGTCCCATACATTCGTTTATACGATGGTACGATGATACGAAAGTGTTGTTGTATTGGTTGGAGATCTGTCAGTTCGTACGACGGCGGACCAATAGAAACACTTTGGTACCATCGTATCATCGTGTAAACGGATGCATGGGACGGACCACCCCTCTCAAGATTTTTCTGGAATTCATTGAATACAGAGGGATAATGAGGGAGTAAAATACGAGGGCACAATATGGCAGAAATGACCGCGGTGCAAGGCCAAACACCACCTCGACGGTGAGGAAAGGGTTCTACTGGCCTGGCAGCTTAGCTGGAGTCCCACACATCCCAGAGCGACAGATCACCAGCTCTGGATGTGCGGAACAGACCATTTCCTAAACTTCACCGAAAAAAAATGGGACGGAGGCCTTAAGTCCTGCACGTTTCGCACATGCCCAGAAGTTCTCGGTCGAAAAATCGATATTTCAGTGCCGTCAGTCGTCGGTCAGCCAGTTGTAGCGCCACCAGCGTAACGCGGTGCCAAGGCCATCCATAGGATTGCTACCTCTCTTATTTTACTGATGGTGGGTTTATACACGAGAATAAGGATAAGGCTTAAGGCATAAGAATAACGCTTAAGGAATAACGCCTAATGGGGTGTTTATAAAGCAGAATAACGAACAATATTATTTTATGTACAGACAATCAAATGGGAGCATAGGCTTAAGAAACAATAGGGTTGTGTCTGTTTATGTCAACATTATCGCGGTAACATACCAATAAAAGCTTATTTCACATAAATATTGTACATTAAAATGGATTTGCCCACTGAAGAAGTGGTAGTTCTTTTTGGATTAATAATTTCGTTTTCTACCCTCACCACAGATATATCTCACTGATAAAACATATA